TGAGAGTTGCTCTCCTCCATGGTTCCGATAGTTTGATTGACCTTCCAGTCGATTGACCCACATGAGGGACTCGTTCGCAGGGCGTAAAATTTCCAACTGTACTCCAACCGCTAATTGTCTCGCAATACAGGAAACAATTCTTTGGCCTTGTCTTTGACAGCGCCCTCGCTCTTCCCCGGATTCTCCTTTTGCACGAGGTACATAATCGCGAGTTCCGTCGTTTTCAGCCACGTGTCCTTTGACATCCGGCGAAACGTCTGCCATCCGCGTGTGTATTTGACCGCCATCTTCCGCTCCCCATCTTGGATACAGGGCTAAAAAATGCCCTCATGCCACACGATGTCATGACCCCACTTGTCCTCACCAGTGCGGGCGTGTTTGCCCCCCAAGAAATAAATTGTGGTCGGATCAGCACAATAGCCGGGAGGAATTGGATCGCCTGGTGCGAGCTTCGACGCCTCGCCTGGCATATCAATGTCATCTTCATCATTGGGACCACATATTCCCATGTTTGGTAAACCGGTGCCCTCCATGGGGGCCACCATCAAGCCAATACTGGGGGCGGCCACCTGTACGGGTCTTTCATGCGAGCGAACGGTCCCTTCATCGTGTGACCGCACCATGCCACTGCCCGGACTTTCACCACCCTTGCCATCGCCCAATTCGAGGTCGGACCCCGAAGAGTCTTCCTCGCTGTCGACGGGGTTAAAGCCGTCACCCGATTTCGCGAGGTCAGCTTAGTCCTTGGACATCAGCTGGTCTTTATGAAGATCGAACTTTAGGATCTCGCATCGAGCGACAAATGTCTCAAAGGCGCCAGTAAGAGCACCGTGATAATGTTTCAGGGTCTCTGTCACCTTTGCTTTCCTGTAGATGTAATTCCTGTTAAGCCGTCCTTGCGGCGCATTGCGGAACAGGTATTCCCACACCTTCAGTCTCTTGCATCCCAACTTGTGGAACATGTCCCTGTTGCTACAATGTTTGCAACGTGGCTTCTCGACATGACAGGTGAATCTCTCATCCTTCACAAGTATATCGACGAACTTCGTCAGATATGCAATGTCCTTGGCCGACTCGTCGCAGGGAAGGACATTATTACCTGTCAGTAACAACTCCCACACAAGACCTGCGTGCGCTCTCCCCAACAAAAGCACACCTTCCGCCTCTCCGACAAATGACCCGCACAACGAACGTAACTTTCCAGGCTCTCGCTCCCAGATGGAATACACCGCACTATCATCACCCTCTATCCCACCGTGTTTACCTTGACACTTCCCGAACTTCTCCTCCACAACGTGCACGGTTGTGAGGTCGTTGTGGAGTCGGGGTTTGACAGTTACTTTTTTCAGATCCCTCCGTCGGCGTGCAGGACAATGGCCATCATATCTCGACTCGTCGTAGCCATATTGTCGTATCGTGTGATGTCGTTCGGTGGCCTGTCCACCCGTTTCCAGGTCCCGGGGATGACTTCGACGTCCTCCCAGCGGAACAAGTGACGCAGAACATCGCTTTGCACCTTCTGCGGCGCAAAGAAGAAAAGGATTCAATTCTGGCCATAACACTTGGTCATCAATGTGTGCAAGGCATCAAATTCGTGAGAGGTCCACGCCGTGCTGAAGTTCGAGGATGGGATGTCCACGATGGCGGCGCTGCATGTCATTTTTTGCGCTGCAGCGACGATGTCGTCTGGCGCTGCCAACACTTCCTTTGATGGCATGCACACAGGTAGCAACGTCGTTTGTTTGCCAATCTTGTCCCACACAATATGACGCACGCTGGAGGCGATCCGTTTCACCTCGGCACGAAGCAAATCGAGCTTATCGATTGCAGTGTTTATGAAGACCTTAAGGTGAAACAGAGCCTCCTTATACATTGCTGCCGTAGGCCCCAAGCCCGCGCCTTGCCTTGCCTCCTCCACTCCTCCAAGTCGTCGAGGGACCATCTTCACCTTATTGACATGTAACTTGTCCCGTTCCTTCTCCCATTCAGCAGCGCATAGACCGTTTGGCCCATACTTGTCTTCAAGGTCCTTGTACGACATGAAGAACGCGTCGTTCCATTCGTCGTCCGCCCTTCCCTCGGCGCGGAACAGAACATAATTGAACATACGCACCATGTACCGCTCCTTTCGCATGATGTCGAGGAGGCACTCTGTGTTCACTCTTGGAGGCAAGACCTTGACGTTCGTTGCGACCACCTTCCCCTTCATGAGCAGGAGCAACGCAACTTCCCTCTCACGACATGTCAAATCCCCAAAATTTTTGAAGTAGGAAGGACAAAGATCCTTCCACGACACGATGGAACCTTTGGGACCATCTATTGCATATATGCAATGGTACAATGTTCTTTGTCCCTTGGTCTCGTCGGTGTACGGGCCTGGCAGGCGGCCTTCCATCCTCCCGGGCATGTCAAGCGGGATTTTGCCATCGCCAACTGGCAACTTTCCTTCGTTGAACATCTCGAAGAACCTCTCGACCAGCAGCCACAATGCGACACTGGATGTGGCGAGGTTCATGTAGCCCCGGAGTTTATTACTCCAATCCTTACTGTACTCATTCTCGAGAGCTTGCTTTACAAACGCCTTGTCGCATGCCTTCCCCATGCAGGCCCTCAAGAAGTTCTGCCACGTCTTCTGATGCGCAACGGCCACCTCATTGTTCTCGCTGACCTTGGCTTTCGGGGCCTCGATTCTATTGTTGTCTATCCACCATTACCTGATGTCACGGACAGCGTTCTCGAATGACAACATCATGGAGCGATTGTCGCGTGTGTTGTCGAAGCAGGAGACATTGAAATACCCTCGTGTTTGATCATCTTCGAAATAGACGACCCGCACCTTAGAGTACGCGTTGAGGCCATAAACTTTAACTACCGGGGAGCCCTTTCTGACCAATCTCTTCATGGCCTCAACGGTATGCTGACCACAGACAGCGTACCAGTCGAACTCTGCCGGGTCCCTTTCCAAGAATTCGGTCGGCGTGATCCATCTTCCCTGGCCGCCGACAATGTCATTGCGGTCAACTGGCGCGAGCACGAGCTCGGGCCTATCCCACGCCCCCGGGTCCGTGCTGATGGAGCTTTCGATGGCATTCTCGATGCCTCGCACAATGTTTTCAGACAASGAGCGGTGGTTGAAAAGAATCCTTCCACGGGGAATGCGTTTGATTCTCATGACGTCCACGTGAAGAGCATGGACGTCTTGCGTAGCAAAGCCTTGGTCGTCGTATTCGAGGAAGAAACAACGCGTAGTGTTGATGGGCGCGACGCGCTGAAACTGCTCATCAACATCTTCGGGCATGCGAGGATCCACTCCCTCGCCCTCATCCCCCGAGTCCCGCAGCTCTTGTGTTCTCACCCTCTGGGAGCCTTTCAGCAACCCTCCACGGCCACCGCCCCCACGGCCACCGCCTTGACCCCCAGATCGCCCCCCTTGGCTGTTCTTCCGAGGAGACCGCGCCTCCTGGAACGCTGTCAAAGCTCCACGAGCCTCATTAATAGCGTCAGTCCTGGCTTGCCTCTTAAGAGTAGAAGCAGACGGAGAAGTCTCCCTTGTTCTTTTCCTCGCCTTCGGTCCTTGCATTGCATGTGAGTCATGTCCACCCTTACTCCTGCTTTGCGATAGCGAAATTCCACGGGACGTCGAGGGCTGACCAATAGCGGCTCCCACAGCGCCGGCGGGGGAGATGTCATGACCATGCATTGGCGTGTCGGCGTCCTCGTCAGCAAGCCCGCCCYGGTCCTCCATGTTGTCATCCCCAACTTCCACATCTGCTTCATTACCGCCGTCGTCATGCGGCCCARCACTTCCTCCTTCCTCGTCCTCRTCGTTSTCCTCGTCCAGGGCMATTGCAMTRCCCTRGGAATTCTCACSGCYAACATTGCGCTGGTGCAGAAGCCTGTCATCAAACTCYGTTGCCTCGCTTGAACCTTGAGCCAAATCACGACCTCCCCTCACGGAGGGCGAGGGAAGATTCGCGCCCGACGGCCCACCCGACAACTGCTTTGTCTTCCCTGTCGTCGCGGACGGCGTTTGTCGCCTGCTTTTGGAACCAACCTCAAAGGGCAAAAAAACACAGTCCGTTTGCTGATCAGGCGGCAGCTTCGAGAAGTCTTCCCTGTACCGCTTAACCACACCTGGCAGCAGGTCCATCGGACTGTTGAATTGGACCAAAGGTTTGCTCATCCGAAAAGAACTGTCGACAACAGGAAGGCAGCCAGTAACGTGGTTGGCGTTTGTTTTGCTGAGAAATTCTTCCGGAGAAAGCATTCGGAATTCAGTTCTGTCCCCACGCACGTCAAACGCTTTCATGGAGAAAGCCTTGACGCCGTATCCTTGGAAGAGACGCAGGTCAAGGGAGACCTTCTTGTCTTCCTTGACCCAGTCCGTCCCAACGCTGTCGAAGACGGACATGAGGAAGAAGGTCTTGAACGTCCTCCTTTCATAGGTCTTCCTGCCCGCCTCGGATTTCTCCACACCCCCACAACAGTACCAAGTGGCGCCATTGTCATCGCTCAAGAAGATAACAGCCCCACACCCCGGTTTATGCAAACCGCCTACCCAGTCAAGAGCCCACGGTTTGTTGTTGTAAGTCTTAGACCTGCCGTACCGTTTATTTTGACCAGAGGTCGGCGCACCAGATTTACCTGTCGGTGGCAAATGCAAAACAAAGACGGGCATGAGAACAACAATGAGCACCACACAGAAACACTTGCACGTGGTCCGAGACATTCAAGACGGCACGTGACCCGCCATATGCCCGCCATCTTTTCGGCAAGGGGGGTTAGCGAGGGTGTCGGGAACGGTGCATACCAGACACCCATGCATGGTCGAGGGGTCTTGCGTTCCCAGTCCGCCGGACCGTCCCCATCCTTTCGAGGCAGGGGGTCAAGGGTTTCCATTCCGATGCCCCCCCCTTCCCACCCAGGAAGGATGGCGGGGGCAGGGCGTCTCGGGAACGCCCGACCCCCGACCGAGCACGGCTATCGGAGGTCCGGCGTTTCCAATCCGCCGGACCTCCATCCGAAAAGGGTGGAGGAGGTAGGGTGTTTCGGGAACGCCGGACCCCCGACCGAGCACGGCTGTCGGAGGTCCGGCGTTTACAATCCGCCGGACCTCCATCCGAAAAGGGTGGAGGAGGTAGGGCGTTTCGGGAACGCCGGACCCCCGAGAGAGCACGGCTGTCGGAGGTCCGGCGTTTCCAATCCGCCGGACCCCCGCACGGAAAGGGCGGAGGGGGTAGGGCGGTTCGGGAACGCCGGACCCCCGTACGAAAAGGGTGAAAGGGGCAGGGCGGTTCGGGAACGCCGAACCCCGGACCGTGCACGGGTGTCGGTGGTCCGGCGTTTCCAATCCGCCGGACCCCCGTACGAAAAGGGTGAAAGGGGCAGGGCGGTTCGGGAACACCGGACCCCCGACCGTGCCCGGGTGTCGGTGGTCCGGCGTTTCCAATCCGCCGGACCCCCGTACGGAAAGGGCGGAGGGGGCAGGGCGGTTCGGGAACGCAGGACCCCCGACCGTGCACGGGTGTCAGAGGTCCAGCGTTTCCAATCCGCCGGACCCCCGTACGGAAAGGGTGGAGGGGGTAGGGCGGTTTGGGAACGCCGGACCCCCGACCGTGCACGGGTGTCGGAGG